ATATATATATATATATATATATAGTAACAGAATGAGGTGTGAGGTATATGTGTATTTTGGATTGGTTTTAACTTAACAATGTTTCTGACTTTATATTTTCTTATATACTTTTATTTAAACATACATTTTACCTTCTGCATGTTTTTTTCTACTATAGACCTTTTTCATGGCTGCTGCATGGAGGGCGCCATAGCGACCAGCGTCTTCCGGTAGAATGCTAAAAACTTCCGTTTACAGCGTGTACAACTGGTAATTTGCGCTTCGAAAATGGGTTTCAATAACGTTTTTCATGGGTAACAGAGTGTTTTTGTGACACACAACTTAGAAATGTGTCTGTTAAAGCCGTTATAATCTGTCACATCTGGTTCAAGCGCGTCAGAAATACGAGAAAAACGTTCTCCTAGTTCACGTGTCTGCCGTCAGAAATAGTGTGTGTGTGCGTTCCCGGCCTGTCAGCTGTTCGCTCAGCGGCTCTTTAACACACACACACACACACACACACACACACACACACACACACACACACACACACACGCACACACATACAGAGAATGAGAGAGAGAGAAAGAGAGAGAGCAAACCAGAGTACTGGCATGAGACTTAACAGGTATGAAAGTCGTGCAATTTACAAAAATGACCAATAAAAGTCTGTTTTTGATACTCTGCTGGCTGATTTGCTGTTCATTCTAATCGTGAGCCGTTTGTGTTTTATTTCGTGTGTTGTTTTTACCACGGTTTGTGTTTTTCTGTCATTTCGAAATGACACTAGCCTATATTTTCACTTTGTCACAGTTATTAAATCAGTGTGTCAGTGGCACAGTGCAGGCTACATGTGTGTCAAACATTTTGGTGAACTACATTTGTTTGGGCTGGTTATATATTTGAAATAAAGAGAAAATGTTGACTTTAGTGATGACGAGGCTTCATTTAAACTGCAGAAGATGCCGTCTGACAACGAGGGGAAAATGCCTCACAGCAGCTGTTTTCCATCCTATTAGATCGCATTTCTTTACATGATCAATCCAGGAGATGGTGGTGATGCACAACAGTATTAGTTCAAAGAGGATAAAAGCAGGTAAAATAGATTAAAACTATCATTTCAAAGCTGTCTAAATATGACTGTTTACACGCATCAGCTGCAGACCGGAAGTTCTTCGCATTCTCCTTGCGCATACACGCAAAGCATAATGGGTAATTTTGCGTTCCAAGAAAAAGGTCTATACTTGTATTTTTTTTTTTTTTTTTATAAGTGTTTAAAATTACATTTGAAAGGTGCTATATAAAATAAATATTATTATTATTGTCTTAAGGACAATTTTGAAAACCTTTTTAATCCACTTCTAATGTCGACTACTGTACACTGCTACTGAATATACTTAAACTTTCTTTGGCATTGCATTGCATTGTATTGCACAGTGACATCCACAATTAATAAAAGTCAAAGAGCGTGACTGGGAAAAAAAGAGTGAACGATAACAGTGCAACCTTTTGCCATTACTCTGTGAGATAACAAAAAGAGCAACAGACCTGCTGGGATTTCTCAGTCCTTTCTCCCTGAGGAATGCTCTGTCTTTCCCATTGAACAGCATTTATAAACTGCTAGCATGGGGATCTTGTAATCTCTCAGTCTCTCACAACTCACAAAATCTAAAACTTTTAAATCAAACAGCTGTCATTGTAGTAGTATCGATTGTAATTGTGATTTATTGAAGTATTAGTTCCTGTAGTAGTTGATGTCGTTGGCATAGTGGTAGCAGAAGTAGTAAAAGTGTCGTTGTAGCAGTAGTAATCGTTGTTGGTGTAATAGTACCAGTAGTAGATGTCGTTGATGTAGATGTTGTAGTAGCAGTGATTGCGGTAGTAGTAGTAGTAGTAGACCGTGTATTAGTTGTAGCAGACGCTGTAGTAGTATCAGTAGTGGTAGTCATTGTTGTGGTAGTATCAGCAGTAGTAGACATTATAGTAGTAATAGTTGTGGTTGTGACTGTAGTAGCAGCAATAGTAGTTGTAATATAAGTAACTTTCTGTAGCAGTAGTTGGTGTAGTACTTGTGATTTATTATCATTGTCATTTATTATTACTGTTGTCCTTTCTTTCTTTTTACTGTCATTATTACAATCATACATTACTAAGCCGTGTTGTTACTCCCTAACTCTGACTGGTTTCTTTTTTTCTGTTTTACTTATATCTGCGATACTTGCTTCATTTATTGGCTGATATTGTTCCTAATGTATGTAATCTGACCTTTTCACCAAGTTACCTTTACATGGACACACACACACACACACACACACACACACACACACACACACACACACGCACACACACACACACACACACACACACACCTAACAGTACCTGACTATATTGTTTTTGTTTTGTTTTTTATAGTTGTTTTGTTATGATTTTTTGTTGATGTTTTTTTTTTTTTTTTTTGTATTTGTATGATCCCAATTTATGTACCTTTTTGCATATTCTAATAAAAAGAAAATAAATAAAAATTCTAACAGCTGAACTAATAACTAATTGTGGAATTAAATGTAATTTTGAGTTGTACTGTAATATGCAATATGTAAACCGGCAAAGTATGAATAAATTTAACATATATATATATATATATATA